ACTGTACATCCAGGGGCAAAAACAAACACACCCCAACCTTGACCTATTTCCAGAAGGATATGTACACAATAAGAGCTATATACAGTACAGTACATGAGTAGATATCTTGCTCTGAACAGTCAGAACAGATACTGTTAAATCCAGGTTAGCTACCAGGCCTATTATTTGGGTACTGTGGTAAGATTGAATTAGTACATCTATTGGAACCATGGTACTTGTGATGTGGCATGTGACTTAATCAGATGATAGACCTGCTTGAAGAAATCTGGTACCATATGGGATATAACAGTGTTGTGTATGCAGGACTAACACTGTTTCAGACACAGCAGCGTGCACATAATCAGACACAGAAAACATAGATTTTATATTCACATGGTGGGCATGCAATCAGGTTACAACCAGCATGTATGGTAAACACATTCTGCATAAACATGTAGAGAGACAGACAGACAGACAGACAAGCAGTCCGACAGACAGACAGATGGACAGAGAGACAGACACAGACACACAGACATACGCACAACCACACACACACACGCAATGACAGTTGACCTGGGATGACATTGGTCACTCACCCCATTAGACTACATCACCCGTTCATCGTACAATTCCTGCTGGGTGTGACAGACAAACAGACAAGCAATCAGACAGACAGACATAAAGGCAAGAAGACAGACAGACAGACAGACAGACAGACAGAACAGACAGACAGACAGACAGACAGACAGACAGACAGACAGCCAGACAGACAGACAGACAGACAGACAGACAGACAGACAGACAGACAGACAGACAGACAGACAGACAGACAGACAGACAGACAGACAGACGGAATGACATTGGTCCCCATCATGAAGTGTATCCTCAGCAGGCACGTTTCTCCGCTGGATAACGGTGTTATGTGGTCTTTAACCCTGTTAGACTACACCCCCCATTCATAGTTCCTGCTGGGTGTGTCTGTCTACTAGTATTTGACCAGGCATTAGGCCTACATCTAAGGATGTATGTACTTTGAGTAGCAAGGTAGGAAAAATATTAAGCAAAAAAAACAATATCACGCATGCTAATGGCATAATATCACATTACTATCACATTGTTCACTGGTATCTGTCTCGTCTATGATGATCCACCTCCTCCTTCCATTCCCCGCAACACACACACCACCATCATTCCTGTTGCCAAGAACTCTAAGGCTTCATGCCACAGTGACTACCACCCTGTAGCACTCACATCTGTAATCAGGAAGTGCTTTGAGAGGCTGGTTATGGCACACATCAACTCCACCATCCCAGACACCCTAGACCCACTCCAATTTGCATACCTCCCCAACAGATCCATAAACGACGCAATCTCAATTGCACTCCACACTGCCCTCACCCACCTAGAGGAATACGTATGTGAGAATGCTGTTCATTGACTACAGCTCAGCGTTCAACACCATTGTCCCCTCCAAGCTCGTCACCAAGCTTAGGACCTTGGGACTGAACACTTCCCTCTGCAACTGGATCCTGGACTTCCTGACGGACCGAGGAGGGTAGGCAACATCACCTCTGCCATGCTGACCCTCAACACGTGGGCCCCACAGGGGTGTGTGCTTAGTCCCCTCCTTAACTCCCTGTTCACCCATGACTGCGAGGCCATGCACGACTCCAACACCATCGTCAAGTTTGCTGATGACACGATGGTGGTAGGCCTGATCACCGGCAATGATGAGACAGCCTACAAAGAGGAGGTCAGTCACCTGGCAACGTCTGTAAGACCAAGGAGCTGATTGTGGACTACAGGAAAGGGGGTGGGGGCACGCCCCCATCCACATCGACGGGGCTTCAGTGGAGTGTGTCGAGAGCTTCAAGTTCCTCGGTGTCCAAATCACTAAGAACTTAAAATGGTCCACACACACGCACAGTCGTGAAGAAGCCGCGACAGCGCCTCTTCCCCTTCAGGAGGTTGAAAAGGTTTGGCATGGGCCCTCAAATCCTCAAAAAGTTATACAGCTGGACCATTGACAGCATGTTGACAGGCTGCATCACTGCTTGATATGGTAATAGCACAGCCCTCGATCGCATGGCGCTACAGAGGGTGGTGCGGACAGCCTAGTACATCACTGGGGCCGAGCTCCCTGCCATCCAGGACCGCAATATCAGGCGGTGTGAAAGGAAGGCCCGGAAAACCGTTAAAGACTCCAACCACCCAAGCCATAGACCGTTCTCTCTGCTTCCGCACGGCAAGCAGTACCGATGCATCAAGTCTGACACCAACAGGCTCCTGAACAGCTTCTATCCCTCTAAATAGCTAACTAAATATCTAACAAAATGGCTACAATGACTATCTGAGTTGACCTTTGTATTCTATTCTTATTTTTGCACCGTCTCTATGCACACTCACATGTCCCTACACACTATGCACACTGATACCCCAACACACACTCAAACACTCACTCCATCATTTGCTCACACACAAATAATGTCCACATACATTTGTACTGACTCTACACACACACACACACTCACATACAAGCTGCTGCTACTCTGTTTATTGTATATTATCCTGATGTCTAGTCACCTTACCCTATACATATCTTCCTCTATCAATCCAGTATGCCTGCACATTGTAAATATGGTACTGGAACTGACCCTGTATATAGTATGCTTCCTTACTTTATCGTGTTCTTCTCGTTTTTATATCTTGTGTGTTTTTGTTTTACCTTGTTATTTTTAGTATTACATTGTTATTGATTACTGCAAGAAAGGCATTTCACTGTACTTGTGCATGTAACATTAAAACTTGAAACTTGAAACACACACACAATCACCGTCAGCTGGTCAGATAGTCATCTAAATGATTGTGCTGACATTTTTTCAGTCTGAGATCTGATGGAACAAGGGAACAGAAGAGGGGCAAGGTGACAGGTGCTTTAGAAGGCTCTAGAACATTTGTATTGATCTTTATTGGGCTGTAAACACTGGCGAACGGGAAAAGAGCAAACAGGTCAGATTGTGACATCACAGCAGTTGAGCTCACTGAGCTCTCTTATTGGTCAAGTGAAAGGCGTGCCAGCGAGTCCCTTGGAAAAGGGCCCTGTGTAGTTAGAATCTGTCTGTATGTATTGGGGTTGGATTACCCTCTTCCGCCGCTCAAAAAGCAATAACAGATATGGAAAAGCACCCAAACAGAGCAGGGTATTCTCTGTGCGAGCAACATAACACAGTACTTCATGATGGGTGTCAATGCCAAACAACCCCACAAGGCCAATGTATGTTAGCACTTTACCTCACCACTGTTGTGGTGTTTACTGTGTTCAGGACTAGTTGTTTTGACTGGAACTGTACAAAACTCCTCCCTGAGATTCTTGCCACTAAGTTTTGAATGCTAAATCCTAAAAAAGAGAGACCATATACATCATGTACTATTATGTCAAAGGGCTATTTAGGCTTAGGTAGGCCTTGTTTAACATTGTTGGTTTGAAGAGAGGCATTCTTTTGAGAGGCTTGGTTGAAGATTTTGTTGGCAAGTACATGAATAATAATCTAGTTATATGATAATAACACAACAGCAACACAACAGTTATAGTTATAATAGTTAAGAATGAAGCAAAACTCATTTTTGATGGTGTAGGCCATTGTCATCCATCATGTTGACTATAGTGGAGCCAGGAACATGTAACAGCGTGTCATAAGTAAATCAAAAAACAATAAGAATGTGTTATTTATAACTCACTAAATTACCTTCCCGTCTATTGATATCACGCAGCTCCATATCAAAGGGTGTAAAGGGGACTGTTTATATTGACAACCCCTGCTGCTACTTGCTGTTTATTATCTATGCATAGTCACTTTACCTCTACCTACATGTACAAATTACCTCGACTAACCTGTACCCCCGCACATTGACTTGGTACCGGTACCCCCTGTATATATTATCTTTATTGTTATTTTATTGTGTTACTTTTTTTTATTTTATAATTTAGATTATTTAGTAAATATTTTCTTAACTCTATTTCTTGAACTGCATTGTTGGTTAAGGGCTTGTAAGTAAGCATTTCACGGTGAGGTCTACACCTGTTGTATTCGGTGCATGTGTCAAATAAGATTTAATTTGATTTTATATAGCCTATAAGGAAGTTATATAATCTTACTATCTGGCACACTATCTCACCAAGTGTCAAATAACTATTTTTATTGCCCTTACACTATGTACAAGGTGGTAGCCTACACAAAAAAATGGAGGAAAGAGCGAGGTGGTGTCCATCACACATGACATGGATCATTTCACTCGTTTTAGAGCTTATTTCTTATATTTCGAAAAACTGGTAGATCCAAAGATTTCAAAAGTATTGAGCGACTTTTCTCTGTCTTTGCTAATTTCTGCCAAAGTTCAGGTTGCAACATTTTTGCATGGGTTTTGCGTGCGCCTGCACTTGTTTTCTTTGAGTCTGTCTGTGCCTATAACCCAAATAATGCAATAATCATCTGTGGGTTGTGATGAGACAAGTATATTGAGTCACGCGTGATGTTCAAAACAAAAGCATCATTCATGTGCAGGATGCTGAGTCACTTCCTTATGTGAATCCCCATCATATCATATATTGTCTTAACATCGAGGAAAATGATGAAAAATAGACAAGAAGTTAGGATACGATTTTTTACTGTCCCTTTTTCAAATTATCAACAGCAGATGGTTCATGTGAAACGTGTGATACAATCAGTAGCCTAGACCCTAGGCTACACCCCTTGATTGACAAATATTTATTTGAAGCTTCTGATGTGTAGACCCTTCTGAAGATGCTTCTCAGGATTTGACCTAGAATAAACTCAAACTGATGTATAACATATTTCCACTAGTCACAGTGCATTCTTTCTGTCCAAAATTCCGTAGTTTAAGGAGGTGTGTTGTGCAGACCAATCCAACCCTCGGGATCTATTTGCGTCACTCGGGGGGAGGGGTATCAGAGAGGGGCTCCGTCTATAATTACGCCGCTGATTGAACACTGATCAGAGACAAGAGCGCCTAGGCATTTTAAACGTTAACTGGTAGACTACTAAACAGCTCAACGGTTTTCAACTGAAGATTTTCACCGTTGAAACGACATAACATTATTATAAGTAGGCCTACCACTTTAATGTATTTATTTTAAGTCTTAACTTACATTTTAAAGGAATTTTCCCGCTTGACGTTTTGCCGCCAGTCAAGTCTATCTGCTGCGGTTTCATTAAGCCAATTGATAAATCGCTGCTTTTGAGAGGATTCATTACTTCAGCATGTTTCCAGAGTCAAGCACCGGGTGAGTAGTAAGACTAATAGGAAACTAATAGGAAATTGCATCATTCTATCATTTAATCGTTCTATCATTGTATTTAACTAACAGTACTCACCCGCAACTTTTATTCAAACGTGACGCTACTGTAGGCCTATCCCACATGGTCAAGTGTGCACGTGGAGGAAATAGTATGTGTTTTTTTAGATGAAACACCAGAAATTGAATTCTGTGGATCCGACGACTCACGTGCGACGGGGGCAGCAGATGGAGTTTGATATTTTCATTGAGATTAAACGATAGTTGAAATCATATATCGATTTTTTTAAAAGATCCTCCCATTCAAAAAACTCTATAGAAGCAGAATAGCAGGTGAGGTCGGAGCGCACTTGGCTGCCGAACAGGATTTGTATTATACAAGACAGATGTGGGGTGTGGAAATTCTAATGGGAAAGGGTGCACCCCTATTAGCCAACATCATTTCTGAAAATAAATAAATCAAACGTAAACCTACTGTAGGCTATAATAAATTGTTCAGAATAGCCTAATAGTCAATTCACTCAATTTACTCTTATATATTGTAGCATAATATTTGATTAAATAATGTGTATCTTACACTTTAATTCACAGTTATTCTGTTAGCAGGTGTTTGACAATTTAGTAATGCAACTTAACTTGAGATAGGCTACAGCCTCATTTATGAGGTGGGCTCAGGTTTATGGTTATGGTTAGGCTATATAGTGTACAATAAAACCATATAGACTTTTTTTCATAATATGATGGTTCTTAGAAAAGGGTGTGTGTTTAAGGTCAAAGTTGATACTCAGATAAGATAACATAACTAACTAATATAGGCTTGAACAATAGGGTGTTATAGTAGGCTAAACCTGTGGGCTGTGTGTTGTGTTGACCTTTGTGAAAGGCAAAGGAGAATAATTACTTCATTGTGACTCCGATGGAATGTGTCGTAGTAAATATGACCCATTTTAATGTTAGGAGCTTGTTTTCAATCAATGCTGTTCCTATGCAAGAACAATGGACAGAGCCAATATCTTCTCAAGGACAACACCCACGCCACAGGCCATAATCTGGTTGCTCCCCACGAGTCTTTCCTTTGAGAACATACACACATTCACACACACATCTCCATGCATACGCACACTCATCCTCATGCCTCACGAGTTACGCACACACACAAACTGCACTTCTTTCTACTGGTCGGGTGCCAAGGGCAGAGGACTCTGCCGTGCACCAAAGGGGCTTCTACTCTGGACAGAGCAGACCCGCCTCCTACGCCTCGGGAACCAATCAAGGGACTAGAAGAAGGACCCCTTCCTTTGTGTTACATTGTATAAAGTAATGCTGTAAACTCTGTTTTTTATCCCTTTTCAACTGTCTCCATAAGAGGCAACTGAATGGGTCCATGCATGTAGCTTGAGCAGTACCAGCTATCTCTGTTGTTTAATAAACTGCCTTTTGCTTAAGCATATTCCTCTCTGTCTAGCGTCGTTGGTTTGTACTTCCTCTCCTTATGGTTCCACCAACAAATGTGTGTGTGTGCATGTGTTTGTGTCCTTAGGAGATTCCACACTATGGAGGCTCACACTCATTAACACACAGACTTAGATTACTGCTCAGAAAACATCTGTTTAATAAGGACACACACTTCAACTTCCCATAGACGCTCTGAAACAACCCGTGGCATATCAGCTATGTGTTCGTGATCGTATTGACCATGGCATCTATTGGTTTTAAGTATTAGTATAAGTGTAAGTAAATTCTATTCTAACATATATCTCTGTCGTTTTCAGGTACAGCTATGAGGACTGCAAGGCCACAGCAGACTGGCTGTTGGCCCAGACCTCCGTTCGCCCCGTGGTGGGCATCGTGTGTGGTTCAGGAATGGGAGGACTGGCTGACATGCTGAAAGACCAAGTGGCCTTCAACTACATGGACATCCCCAACTTCCCCCAGAGCACAGGTATGTACTAGTAATGTATATCTATCTGTCTTGTTTTCTTATTTGGTGAATCTACATTGCAGATGTATAGGGCAAGGTATATGGGGTCTGCATTGGCCGTGTGACTTAACCAGGTAGAATTCTGGGCTCAGGTTATAGCCTATGAAAAACACCTGCACTCTTAGAAAAAAGGGTTCCAAAAGGGTTATTTGGCTGTCCCCATAGGAGAACCCTTTTTGGTTCCAAGTAGAACCATTTTTGGCTCCATGTAGAACCCTCTGTGGAAAGGGTTCTACATGGAACCCAAAAGGGTTCACCTATGGGGATAGCCAAATAACTATCGTATGTTCTAGATAGCACCTTTTCTTCTGAGAGTGTGGTTCTATAAGATGTTTTCTGATTAGTTGCCGTGAGTTGTCTGTGCATTCTAATTGGTTGTTGTGTGTTACAGTGCACGGCCATGCTGGACGCTTGGTGTTCGGGACGCTGAAGGGAAGGCCATGCGTGTGCATGCAGGGACGCTTCCACCTGTACGAGGGATACGCCATCCAGAAGGTACGTCTATCATGTCTGTCTACCAACATACCATGTAGCTACTGTAGGATTCAGACATGCGGTGCTCTTCTGCATTACTGTACATGATCGGTAGAGGAGATAGATTCATTATAATGCCTTAATTAAGGGGCAATATGCTTTGCAACAAGACGAGTCAGTCAAATACACACAGATAAAATATTAAATATACAGTACATAGAAGAGAATAAAAACAGAGTATTAAATCAACTAGCCTATATTAGAATATCCACATTTTAGCTGTATATTGTAATGTATAATACCAGTGTATTTGTGATGTGTGTTCCAGATCACCCTGCCCATGCGTATCTTCAGCTTGCTGGGTGTAGAGACGGTCATCCTGACCAACGCTGCTGGCGGTCTCAACCAGGACTTCAAAGTGGGAGACATCATGATCATGAAAGACCACATCAACATGCCCGGCTTTGCTGGCAACAACCCACTTGCTGGATCAAACGACGACAGGTGGGCTTGGAAAGTGTGTTTGTGTGTGCGTGTGTGTGCTTGCGTGACAGATACTTGTTTTGAATTTCTTTGCATTCACAATAGTTATGTGGCATTGAGGTGTAATCATCTCTAATTTCCTTCCTCCCTCGCTTTCCTAGGTTCGGTGTGCGGTTCCCCTGTATGTCTGACGCGTACGACAGAGAGCTGCAGCAGCTGGCTGTGGATGTGGGACAGGAACTGGGCTACGGTGACTTCCTGCGTGAGGGCGTGTACTGCGTTCTGGGCGGGCCCTCGTTCGAGACCATCGCGGAGTGTCGCATGCTGCACAAACTGGGAGCTGATGCTGTCGGTAAGTCTCATCTCTCCCCTGCCTTCCTTCTTGGAATAGTTTTAATCACAAGACCTTCACAATGCTCCTTTTATTGCATTTGACACATTGAACTCAAAAGCTTCTCTTATATTGAGGAAACATAACTGATGCGGTTATCAAACGTATTATCCCTATGTCTGCACTGCTCTAACATTCTCTCTCTCCCAGGCATGAGCACGGCTCACGAGGTGATCGCGGCGCGTCACTGCGGAATGCGTGTGTTCGCCCTGTCCTTGATTACCAACAAGGCTGTGATGGACTACGACAGTGAGGAGAAGGCCAACCATGAGGAAGTCCTGGAGACAGGCCAGCACCGCGCCATCCAGCTGGAGAAACTGGTCTCTACCATGGTCACCCGCATGGAATACAACACCACCAACGCCTAAATGAACGAATGGAATCAACCACCAAACTCATCTAAATAGAATTCCTACAATGGGAATCCCATTCAAGTCAATGGGTGGACTGGCGGCCATTTTGAGTGTACCAATGAAGGGTAAGTCAAATTGCCATGGTCTGAGGTGCAAAACCCATTCTAGGAATTCTATTTCTATGGTAAAACTGGCTCTGGATCAGTAGAAACCGACAGCCTTGAAGTTATGAAACCCAATGACCTGCTTGTGACACAACGATGCCTGATCTGAGAGCTGTGTGGAACAGTCACTTACTGGCTGACCTCTCACCCCTCACAGTCCCTCATTTTAAAACATTCTTCCCATTTTCAAGACGAAAGTGTACATTCCTGCAATGAGCGGCTCTGCAGGCCGTCTCAATTTTTGTTTTTATTATTGTATTGTTATTATTATTATTGTCTATTATAAGTTGATACTGTTAACTTAATATTGATCTGCAGGTGTAAATGTCTTGATTTAACTTAACAATGAGAAACCAATGAATCTGCTGTACGTCTTAACATATGTATCCTGTTTATAATGTACATTAGCTGTTGACGTAAAGTATTATTTCCACTCTTGTTCTTTTTTAATATGAATGTGCTTACTAAAGTTTATATTTATTGATGTGATCAAGTCTTTGGTTTTATTGAGGGCGATTGGAGGATTTATTGTTCAATGATACCAAAGATTGTCGATTATAGTGACAAGATAGTCGAGTGGCCGCTATAACAATGGAAATACATGTCCTCAAAGATGGAAGGCAGGCGGGAGGAGGTGAGATCAGGTGGGACCATTCTAGCCAATGAGAGGGCAGATACGCATGTGAACAACTGGCACAACTAAGTAGTTTTCCTCAAAGTTGCTGGAATGCCACCACTTACATCAGTACATTTTGTAACAACCGAAACATTCCATTCGATCAAATAAGCTTAATGTAATTCGACACGCTCTCATAGACCTCCATACAAAAATCCCCACTTGGTCTGTTTCTCACAGAGACAGATTTTAGGCAGAGTAAATCCTCTCGCTTCACATTTTCCCCTCTGATACTCAATTATGTGTGAATTATAAGTTCAGAAAAGTTTGAGGAAGAAACTTGAGTATTCTTCATGGGTTGATAGATTTACAATAGGACACATTCCATGAGTCTGATATTGATTTTAGAAGAGATTTTAGCTTTGCTCAAAATCCAAATTATGGCATATCCACATGAATATAATTGTGTTCAGGAAAAGTTTATTGAAGTTTTGTAAAGATAGAAATGGAGAAGGTACATAATTCCATAATAAGAAAAAGCATAACACAATTCCAGAGTGTACACTGTAAACAACAGTCGTGATTGCATAGTGCATATAATACATTTTAGCATTCATCTACACAGAAAAATGGCAACTATAGAATGTCATGGCAATAAAAGTGTCATACTGTTTCTGGTTCCCTCAGTCTCATAGCCTATTTGGCAAAATGTCTCCAACTCTGTTATTTACCTTCCTCCATCCATGAACACATCTGACATATCATGCGATCAGGTTGAGGCCTGCTATTCCAATCAAAATCAGTCATCGCTTATAACCTACATCCCAAATACTAAAACACAAATAAAATACCCACTGGGCACACACTGGTTGAATACATTGTTTCCATGTCATTTCAATGAAATTACGTTGAACCAACGTGGAATAGACGTTGAATTGACATCTGTGCCCAGTGGGTAGTTTCATGTTCCCCTTGAACACTAAAATAAATTGAAGATAAAAAGGTGGGATATCCTTGAAATGTCTGTGGCATCCATTAAAAATGAGGATATCAAGTTGAGTATGCAGCATTACAATGATAGTGTTTTTTTCCCACTGAAAAAAAATTGTCATGCCGGTGATTCGATCCTCTAAGGATGATGAAGTACTTCCAAATTACAACAGCACTTTGCCCTCTCTGCAGAGAAAATCCTTTTGACACAATAAACTCCATACTAACACCCCCATTGCCTATTCCTGAAAGGAATGTTGAAAATATGACAAGGCAATTTTGAAAATTGGCACAAGTAAAACAAAACCTTTAGGAAGTTTCCTTCCTATCCAATAGGAGGCAGTATCAAAATTCCCTGCCGTCTTCCTCTATGTTATGGTGCCATGTGAGTAGAGTTGTCTCCCTCTGTTTCTAAGGTAACAGGCAATGCTTTGGCACATGATGATCCCCATATTAAATGTTGTAAACATTACTAGTTCTTTTTTTTAAATCCATGGATCTCTGCAGCGCAGAGAGGAAGAGCCAGAGAAAGGCACTTCTGAAATGACATTTGTGTAGCCTGGTGCAATAACATCTGAGTCCATCATCTCTAGGCAAACATGGTCAGGGTGATCCACTGTAGACAGAGGAGGAGGAGAGATAGAGAGAGAGAGAGATGCAGAGAGAGAGTAGAGAGGAGGGGGAGAGATAGAGAGACAGTAGAGAGAGATGCAGAGAGAGAGTAGAGAGGAGAGGGAGAGAGAGCGAGACAGTAGAGAGGAAGGGGAGAGATAGAGATGCAGAGAGAGAGTACAGAGGAGGGGGAGAGAGAGAGAGTACAGAGGAGGGGAAGAGAGAGAGTAGAGAGAGATGCAGAGAGAGTACAGAGGAGGGGGAGAGAGAGAGAGTAGAGAGGAGGGGGAGAGATAGAGAGAGAGTAGAGAGAGATGCAGAGAGAGAGTAGAGAGGAGGGGGAGAGAGAGCACATTTACTTCATCAGAACATTGCTCATTATGAATAGTGACATAAGAATCACATAACAAGCAACCCCTTTCAACTGTGTAGGCTAGATATGACTGAGACATAACACTCTTATACTCCCATCAACTGAACAAAAAAAAACCTAACAGATGAGAGATAGAAATGTGAGATCTGACCTGGAAGAAGTTGAGTTGTATGACTCCATCAGCATCTGTGTCCATCGTCTTGAAGGTTTCTGTAGGTACAGTAGAGTATTGAAAGTCAGCTAAAACACTCATCTAAATGTAAAGCACCCATATGAATATGACATTCACTATTCTGAACATTGGGATCAAGATCATACATCATTGGCCAATCTGAAACGTCAGTGTAAAATATACCTTATACAGGACATCGTATGGATGATGGATAACTGTACTCACTGAACATGGTCTCCAGCCTAACCAGGCAGGTAACAAAGTTGTCAAAGTCAACTGTCAAGTCAGCCTCAGTGTAGCGCAGAATGATCAGCTGGAACAGGTGGTTGGTCAGCTTGAAGCCTGATGACACAGACAGAGAAAGAACAAAGGCAGGAACCATTTAAAAGGGGTTTAAACCAGCTAGATATGCTTTCATAGAGAACAATAAGTCAAACGTATGAATTTCTATTTTATGTTATTGTCGGTTAGTCAGGTGTCCTTACTATGGCTAAATCAAAATAGTGATGATGCACTACAAAAGAAACAGATTGGGGTTTAAGGGAAGGAGGGACTGTACTGTACCTGCCGCCTCCAGGGCCATCCTCATCTCATAGGAACTCATGGTGCCTGACTTGTCCAGGTCAAACTGACGGAATACAGTCTGGTGGAGGGATGGAGACAGAGAGAGAAAGAGAGACGGAGAGAGACAGAGAGAGAGACAAGGATAGACAGAGAGAGAGAGAGAAACAAGAAGAGACAGAGAGAAACAAGGAGAGACAGAGAGAGAGAGACAAGGAGCGACAGAGAGAGAGAGAGAGAGAGAGACACAGAGAGAGAGAGACCAGGAGAAACAGAGAGACCAGGAGAGACAGAGAGAGAGTGAGAGAGAGACAAGGATAGACAGAGAGAGAGGGAGAGAGGAGAGAGAGAGAGACAGAGAGAGAGAGACAAGGAGCGACAGAGAGAGAGACAAGGAGAGACAAAAAGAGAGAGAGAGAACAGGAGAAACAAAGAGAGACCAGGAGAGACAGAGAGACAAGGAGAGACAGAGAGAGAGAGAGAGAGAGAGAGAGACCAGGAGAAACAGAGAGAGAGTGAGAGAGAGACAGAGAGAGGGGGAGAGAGAGACAGAGAGAGGGAGAGAGGAGAGAGAGAAACAAGGAGCGACAGAGAGAGAGAGAGAAAGAGAGAAACAAGGAGCGACAGAGAGAGAGACAAGGAGAGACAAAAAGAGAGAGAGAGAACAGGAGAAACAAAGAGAGACCAGGAGAGACAAGGAGAGACAGAGAGAGAGACAAGGATAGACAGAGAGAGAGAGAGAAACAAGAAGAGACAGAGAGAAACAAGGAGAGACAGAGAGAGAGAGACAAGGAGCGACAGAGAGAGAGAGAGAGAGAGAGACACAGAGAGAGAGAGACCAGGAGAAACAGAGAGACCAGGAGAGACAGAGAGAGAGTGAGAGAGAGACAAGGATAGACAGAGAGAGAGGGAGAGAGGAGAGAGAGAGAGACAGAGAGAGAGAGACAAGGAGCGACAGAGAGAGAGACAAGGAGAGACAAAAAGAGAGAGAGAGAACAGGAGAAACAAAGAGAGACCAGGAGAGACAGAGAGACAAGGAGAGACAGAGAGAGAGAGAGAGAGAGAGAGAGAGACCAGGAGAAACAGAGAGAGAGTGAGAGAGAGACAGAGAGAGGGGGAGAGAGAGACAGAGAGAGGGAGAGAGGAGAGAGAGAAACAAGGAGCGACAGAGAGAGAGAGAGAAAGAGAGAAACAAGGAGCGACAGAGAGAGAGACAAGGAGAGACAAAAAGAGAGAGAGAGAACAGGAGAAACAAAGAGAGACCAGGAGAGACAAGGAGAGACAGAGAGAGAGAAAGAGAAACAAGGAGAGCGAGCGAGACAATGAGAGAGACAATGAGAGAGAAACAAGGAGGCAGAGCGAGAGACAAGGAGAGACAGAGAGAGAGAGACAAGGAGAGGGAGAGAGAGACAAGGAGAGACGGAGAGGCAAAGACAGAGAGAGAAACTAGTGAAATGCTCTACTGAGACTGGACAAGGAACTAATGACGAGAGCGAAGGCTCAGTTCAAGAGAATGATGTAAGTGAATAGCAGAACAGGATTTATAGCTCAGCTCACCAGGTATCGTTTAATCTTCTCCCACAGCACGTGGAACTCTGCCAGTCCCAGTTTACCACTACCATCAGTCTGAAGGACACGGTCAAGGAACCCTGTTTATACAGACAGTCATAGAGAAAGAGAGACCAGACAGAGAGACCAGACAGATGCCGAAAGACCAGACAAAGAGGACTAGTCATGTATAAACATTTGTTTGAAGTACACCAAGGATACATCCATCAGGTTGATCATAGTGCGACAAGCTTCTGGTCCAAATCCATCTGTCTTCAGATCTTTGTCTGTATGTGTGTGTGAGAGAGAGATAGAGAGATAGAGATAGAGAGAGAGAGAGAGAGAGAGAGAGAGAGAGAGAGAGAGAGAGAGAGAGAGAGAGAGAGCACAAGAGAAGGAGAGATGATTTATATGCATCTGTAAAATCCAAATCTTTACATATTTCCACTAGAATTCCTGCCTGAAAAGTCAGACAGTGTGGGTCTCAGTTCGAAGGATTGTGAATGATCTCGAGTAGACTCACATATACAGAGATATACAGCGCAATACTGTGTTCGAATTCTATTCCTATGGACTCACGCTTGCTGATGATCCTGTTGAGTATGGTCTGCAGCTCTGTGGCACTGATCTCCATGTCCTGTAGGCACAGAAACAGAAGATGAGGAAAGACTACATTTCCCATCAGCCCCTTCGCCCTGCTGTCCCCTCACTTCCCCTCCCTAGTCTCCTCACCTCCCCAGCCAGCTGTCTGAACAGACTCTTGAAGCCAGCGTCAATCTGGCTCTCGTCCAGCTGAGACTGAAACAGAGATACAGAGGAACGTCAACTCTTCTTTCTTGTTGGTAGGTCTGGTATCGGCATATTACAGTATGGGCTTATTTATCAAACATTTTGGATGCAGCCCTTGTCTCTTCCACTCACCTCTGCAGGAAGTTCAGCTGTGACGTCATCATCCAGCTCCCTAACACAGACAGAAAAGAACACTAGTATCAATGTCCTTACATCAAATGTATCGCCTTTCTACCGTACATAATCTCCATCCTCTCATATTTCCTGTTCACCACTCTGTTTCCCTATTACTCACTCTGAGTTGGCTGGTTTCTCAGAGAAGACCCTGAGGACGAAGTCTCCCTCCTTCTGGGGTTCGAAGGTGGAGGGGACGATTATGTACTCCCCGGCGGGCAGCTGGAAGCGAGAGCTCACCTCTCGCAGGTTGATGAAGAGCTCAGAGCGGGCGCTGGAACCGTGCGTCAGGAAGAAATCTCTCTTCAGGTGGACGCCTGATCTACCCACGTACTGAGAGGACAGAGAGAGCAGGGGGGAAATGCTGTGAGGGAGGTAAACTCACTAACACCTGACCTCTAACCTCTAACCCTTAACCCCTGATCTGCCCACACACTAAGGACAAAGGGCAGGGGAAAGCAGTATGAGTGAGTTAGTTAAACTAGGTGAACCTAATTTAACTAGCGAGGTGGGAAAGCTCTGTGAGTGAATTTGTTTAATGACCTATAACACTTGACCTCTAACCCCTGTCCTGCCCACATACTGAGAGGACAGAGACAAAGGGAAAGCACTGTGCGCAAGTTAGTTCACGTCACAGAAGTTCAGTTAATTGTATCCCTTCTAGCTGAGCCTAACCTCTGACCTACTAGGCACTGTGGGGGAGGTGAACCCTCTGACCCCTGACCTCTAACCCCTGACCTTATGAGGACAACGCTACCAAAGAAATGCGGAGCATGCTACCATGCATCTCCATATGAGACAATTGGCTGTGAGCCTAAGCACAAGCTACATTGACCTTTGAGACATGCAGGTCAATATAGGCCTATTGGCTACATTTCACTTCAGCTATGACACACTGTCCAACAGGTTGTTAATGCACTGTCCAACAGGTTGTTAATGCACTGTCCAATAGGTTGTTAATGCACTGTCCAACAGGTTTTTAATGCACTAAATACCTCTCAAATACAGTTATGCTGTCCAACAAATTTTTCCATTTATTACACAGTTACCTCACAACCCAATGTAAGATAATCCTGGCCAGCAGAACACACATACCTCATTAGGAACCTGTAGAAAGACACAGAGAAAGACAGAAACATACAGTCAATTACTAGTTACTCAAAACACTGTCTTTGATATGTAAAACCCAATAGAAAGAAATAAAGAAAAGGTCTCTTGCCTCGTAAATGGCAAATCCGATTGTCTCCATGTCCTTGCCTTCCTTGCGTTTCTTTCTCCGGTCCTTCTGCATCAGCGCCACCAGGAAGCTGCAATCTGACTGGCCGGCTGTGTCGGGGTGCTGCAAGTCAATCTTGAATTGTGGGTTGATCCAGAATGTGGCTAAGGATTGTGGGGGGAAAAGTTATCAGAATAAATATTTTAATCAACTGTGTACCACTTCTTTATTTCCTCCCTCCCTCCCTCCCTCCCTCCCTCCCTCCCTCCCTCCTTACCAGGGAAGTTTCTGCAGCCCCCGGCCGTGCTGCCCCTCCTCCACTCCCCCTGGTAGACGGCTGAGCTCCACTTCTTCTGCTGGGTGGCCTCCAGGGCGTCTGCTGTCAGGTTACAGATCTCCAGACGTGTAAACTCACGCAGGAAGTCACTGAACGACATCCTGAGAGGAGGGATGGAGAGGGCGAGAGGTAGAAGGCAGGGAGGGAGACGAAGTGACAGTCTGTAATGTATATGATGCAATAACTCACACATACTCTCAAGTATCATACCCAGAGGCCATCAGACCTTGGTGAAACAAATATACACACACACGCACACTCACCAGAACTCTCCGTCCTCACTGCGGTTCTGGAGTCGCCCTCTGACTGACCTGTCCACGCTCTCCCACTCTCTGGAGCTAAAAGATCCACAATGAAAATACATTTCTGACTGTATTCCATATCAACAGGGATAGAAATCCACTCTCACTAGTTATACAGTATGATATGTAATATGACACCTGTAGTAGAAAATAACTCTCACTAGTTATATGATATGTAATATGAGAGGTGTAAAGCGGTGCTGCTGTCTCTTACTTGTCGCTCCAGGCACCAGTCCACTCTATTTCTCCCCAGGGGTTGCGGATGCGGACCAGTTTGGTCATATTCCCCCTGTACACCACCTGATGGAGAGGGATACTGCATTACACAGATGTATAGTAACTGGGAAAATGGCCACCCTTTTGTAAATCAAACTGATGTCATTTGAAATTTGTTTGATGTAAAGGTAGATACATTAGTATTCGTTTCAATGCTGTCTTTTGTGTCCAATTAGATGGATGTAACTATTGTTCTCTCTGTTCAGAACTCCACTAACACATGATGCAGTTGGGGGAATTGACCCCTTAGTGCCACTCAAACCAGAGCAGTCATTGGCTCACCTCGTCGACCCCGGTCACTGAGTAGGCGTGACCTTTCACCAGCTTCTTAAAGGTCACAGCCTCCATGTCCTGACTACTGGTGATCTGGCGACAGAAGACAAGGTCAGGGTAAGCACTTCCCTGTACTGTTTACACCTGCTGTATCCTGTGCACGTGACAACTAAACTCAGCAAAAAAAAGAAACGTCCCCTTTTCAGGATCGTGTCTTTCAAAGATAATTCGTCAAAATCCAAATAACTTCACAGATCTTCATTGTAAAGGGTTTAAAATCACTGTTTCCCATGCTTGTTCCATGAACCATAAACAATCAATGAACATGCACCTGTGGAACGGTCGTTAAGACACTAACAGCTTACAGACGGTAGGCAATTAAGGTCACAGTTCTGAAAACTTAGGACACTAAAGAGGCCTTTCTACTGACTCTGAAAAACACCAAAAGAAAGAGGCCCAGGGTCCCTGCTTATCTGCGTGAACGTGCCTTAGGCATGCTGCAAGGAGGCATGAGGACTGCAGATGTGGCCAGGGCAATACATTGCAATGTCCGTACTGTGAGACGCCTAAGACAGCGCTACAGGGAGACAGGATGGACAGCTGATCGTCCTCGCAGTGGCAGACCACGTGTAACAACACCTGCACAGGATCGGTACATCCGACCATCACACCTGGCAACAGGTACAGGATAGCAACAACAACTGCCCGAGTTACACCAGGAACGCACAATCCCTCCATCAGTGCTCAGACTATCCGCAATAGGCTGAGAGAGACTGAGGACTTGTAGGCCTGTTGTAAGGCAGGTCCTCACCAGACAACAACGGCAACAACGTCGCCTATGGGCACAAACCCACCGTCGCTGGATCAGACAGGACTGGCAAAAAGTGCTCTTCACTGACGGGTTGCGTTTTTGTCTCACCAGGGGTGATGGTCGGATTCACGTTTATCGTCGAAGGAATGAGAATTACACTGAGGCCTGTACTCTGGAGCGGGATCGATTTGGAGGCGGAGGGTCCGTCATGGTCTGGGGTGGTGTGTCACAGCATCATCGGACTGAGCTTGTTGTCGTTACAGGGAAGACATCCTCCTCCCTCATGTGGTACCCTTCCTGCAGGCTCATCCTGACATGACCCTCCAGCATGACAATGCCACCAGCCACACTGCTCGTTCTGTGCGTGATTTCCTGCAAGACAGGAATGTCAGTGTTCTGCCATGGCCAGCGAAGAGCCCGGATCTCAATCCCATTGAGCACGTCTGGGACCTGTTGGATCGGAGGGTGAGGGCTAGGGCCATTCCCCCCAGAAATGTCCTGGAACTTGCAGGTGCCTTGGTGGAAGAGTGGGGTAACATCTCACAGAAAGAACTGGCAAATCTGGTGCAGTCCATGAGGAGGAGATGCACTGCAGTACTTAATGCAGCTGGAGGCCACACCAGATACTGACTGTTACTTTTGATTTTGACCCCCCCTTTGTTCAGGGACACATTATTCAATTTCTGTTAGTCACATGTCTGTGGAACTTGTTCAGTTTATGTCTCAGTTGTTGAATCTTGTTATGTTGATACAAATATTTACACATGTTAAGTTTGCTGAAAATAAACGCAGTTGACAGTGAGAGGACGTTTCTTTTTTTGATGAGTTTATGACATAATCTAACAAGTCTGAGTACTGACATCTATGGAGCAGCCCAGCAGCGATCCTCTCTCCACGGCCCGGCTGATGATACTGTAGAGGTCAGAGGGTGCTTTCCTCAGCTCGTACATCTCCGTCACCCCTCCTGTGAAGTCCTCAAAACCCTCTGACGTGCTGCCTCCCGACAGGGCCTCGTAACAGCCATTCAGCCTGCAACGAGGGTGGACAACTCTGTGTCAAAAGACTATTTAAAAACATAAATCTCTGTACAATATACACACAGGACATATACATATAGACATCATTTTACATAATTCGACGTAATTTTTATTTACATTTTGGTCATTTAGCAGACGCTCTTATCCAGAGCGACTTACAGATATCATAACCCATACCAACATATACAGAGTGAGAGAAATGCAAAGCCCATATATACATTTCAATCCTTCTAACCACCCTCTTCTCCTCTCTTTTTCTCCTTTCCTCCCATCCCTCCTCCCTCCTTACTTGGCGTAGGCTTTCTCCAGCAGGGCGCTCCAGAATTCTCCTCCCTCGGCAGAGTGGACAAACAGCAGCTTCCCATCCTTCACCGGCAGCCTGTCATCGATCACCACCTCCATCCACTCCCCATACTGCCAGAACTACAAAACACAGACAGTAGGGAGACTATCAGAACTACAACACACAGACCGTAGAACTACAAAACACAGACCGTAGAACTACAAAACACAGACCGTAGAACTACAAAACACAGACCGTAGAACTACAACACACAGACAGTTGAACTACAACACACAGACAGTTGAACTACAACACACAGACAGTAGAACTACAACACACAGACAGTAGAACTACAACACACAGACCCTAGAACTACAACCACAGACAGTTGAACTACAACACACAGACAGTTGAACTACAACACACAGACAGTAGAACTACAACACACAGACAGTAGAACTACAACACACAGACAGTAGAACTACAAAACACAGACCGTAGAACTACAAAACACAGACCGTAGAACTACAAAACACAGACCGTAGAAATACAAAACACAGACCGTAGAACTACAAAACATAGACAGTAGAACTACAACACACAGACAGTAGAACTACAACACACAGATAGTAGGGAGCTCAATATCACCACCTCCACCCACTTTCCAACCTGCCACTGCAATCCGAATAGGGATAGGATGAAGTGAGATGCAGCTAAGCACTGATTTAAGGTCAGTTTAACATTTACTGCCTTACTTTGCACAAGCACCTAGATCGAATACATTGAAGACATTTACATTTGACATTTCAGTCATTTAGCAGACGCTCTTATCCAGACAAGCTCTGATTTCCCCTCTAATGGTGAGGGTGAGCTGATCCCAGAACTGTGCCTAGGGGTAACCTCTAACCAGAGCGGAGTGTTTAGTCACTTACATCCAATGACCACCAAGGGGCAGAGGTGGCATTAGAACAATCTCATCATAGGGCTCAACAGCGAAGAGGGAGGAACTAAGACTGAGTTAACAACCACAGGAATTTATGGCCAGATCTTGAGCAATCACGCTGTGAATACTCCTTCCATTATTCAGGGGCTCCATGTATCCTGCCTACACCACTGTGATGTTAGTATGCTTTCAAAAAGGAGAAATACAGGCTGTCCAATAATGTATGTACCATTCTCCTCAGCTGCATGTAGTTGACTGATGCAGACCTACGGCAAGGCAATATAACTCCACCACCACCAAATCACATCAAGGACACCAGAACATTATATAGAGTTTTAGGTATATGGCTCTGGGATACACAAATGTAACAATACTAAAGTCATTTTTCTCAAGCTTCAAAACCAGCAGTTACAATGACACCTAATTAGATTCACACTGTTCTGACTCGTGACTCCCAAACAGTGGCAAGGGGAGGAGATGTAGAGCAGTCCTCTGTAGCTCAGCTGGTAGAGCACGGCGCTTGTAACGTCAAGGTAGTGGGTTCGATCCCCGGGACCACCCATACACAAAAAATGTATGCACGCATGACTGTAAGTCGCTTTGGATAAAAGCGTCTGCTAAATGGCATATTACATTACATTACATTATTACAGCAGAGAGCCACAGCTGAGCTGTTATTTTGTGTGTGTGTGTGTGTGAGACAGAGAGTGATGTATGGTTAATTTTGCATGCTCTGCAAGGCTAAAGGGACTGCTGGGACTGTGCGGTCGGGTCACAGAGTACGGTCGACCGCAGAACAGGATCATCCGACCGGCTGGGTTGACACAGAAGTATCACAACACCCCCTACCCCACCAACACACACAGAGGGGGAACCAAACTATGAGCCACTGTCTACTCTGTTAGCCTTTATGGGGCAAATCCTACATTGATGTCAAAATTTGACGTAGGTGGAAGTTAAGATTCGACCCTATCATAACTATATCTTACAGTATCTATTTAGCAGAGTTGGGGTCTGTTCCATATAAACTCCAATCAATTTGGGAACTGAATTGCATTCCAGTTCAACGGACAGGAGAATTGAACTGAAATTGACCCCAACATTATCACAACAATATCTGATATAAACACACCAGTGCTGGCTACAAGGAAAGTAAACCAAATAACTACATCTGTGTAGCGAGCTTGAGTGAGTGTAATCTGTCTTAGAGCCGCAGTACTTAAACTGCGCAGTTCATTTACCCTTTCAATTTCTGATAAGAATATCAAGAACCTAGAGATTTCAAAACTGAAAATTATAGGCATACTGTAGTCTGTTTTAAAATACAGGATTTGTTTAGTCTCACAGCTCATCTCTGCGCCTAGCTAAGCTACCTACTGCATTCCCAGAGTCTGCAGTGCAGCACAGCACAGCTCCCCTTTTGTCTGGTTAAACCAATAAGAACATCCAATTACATTTGGGAGGATGAGTCACCCAGGCTTATGAGATCTGGCACAGGATCTCAAAAGAACACTGTATTATTGGGTTTAGACAGTGTTTGTTCTTGGTTTTACTATCTTTGTGGATAGTATAACAAGTACAATTCTGACAAGTGGGGACCCACTTTCACCGGGTCCCCACAGAGAAAAAGGCTATTTTAGTGTGTTAGTAGTGTACTTCTGTGTGGTATGCAATTGTTATAGTACTGTGTTTGCATTAATGCATGTGTTGATGATGGGTGTGCTGTATTTAGCTTGGCTGCCTGCTGCTCAGTGTAGCAGCAGTAATGGTTACTCTGAATGACTGGGCAGTGGACAGTGGTCAGCACTATGCTAGCAGGCTCCGTATTGGCTCACGTCTCTGTGTGTGTCTCTCCATCTCTGTCCTGGCACCCTGGCCCCCAGCTGAGTCTGACTCTATTAATGTGGGCATGTGGCTGCCATCAAAGGGTTCAGTGAGAGGAAGGCTGAGTGAAAGTGAGGGCCGCTACAGTGGGCACACACACGGGTTAATCATGTGTAACGTCCACCTGGTCGCCCATGCATGGGGACGTCCATTTAGAGGGCAACTGTGGTGCTGCTTTAAGGTCCCAGAGCTGAGTCCTATACAGAGATTGATAGGTGTGTCTCTGTGTCAGAGGATTGGTTTTGTGTACAATGCAAAGGTCATCGTGATAAGGCCTGGCAAAAGCAGGAAGCTTGCCCCCCCACCCCCCCCCCCGAAATACACACACACAAACACACATTAGGTTGGAGATGCTGGAGCAGAGGGCAGCCGCAGTGCTGCGCCCAATGAGCAGTTTAGAGGGTGAAGCTCACGGGAATATCGCCGGTATGTGGCACCTGTATATTATTATACACTACCAGTCAAAAGTTTGGACACACCTACTCATTTCAGGGTTTTTCTTTATTTTTACTATTTTCTACATTGTAGAATAATAGTGAAGACATCAAAACTATGAAATAACACATATGGAATCATGTAGTAACCAAAAAAGTGTTAAACAAATCAAAATATATTTGAGATTTGAGATTCTTCAAAGTAGCCACCCTTTGCCTTGATGACAGCTTTGCACACTCTTGTCATTCTCTCAACCAGCTTCACCTGGAATGCTTTTGCAACAGTCTTGAAGGAGTTCCCACATATGCTGAGCACTTGTTGGCTGCTTTTCCTTCACTCTGCTGTCCAACTCATCCCAAACCATCTTAATTGGCCTGAGGTCGGGTGATTGTGGAGGCCAGGTCATCTGATGCAGCACTCCATCACTATCCCTCTTGGTCAGTTGCCATGTTGGTTAAGTGTGCCTTGAATTCTAAATAAATCCTTGACAGTGTCACCAGCAAAGCACCCCCACACCATCACACCTCCTCCTCCATGCTTCACGGTGGGAACCACACATGCAGAGATTATCCGTTCACCTACTCTGTGTCTCACAAAGACACAGAGGTTGGAAACAAATATCTCAAATTTGGACTCATCAGACCAAAAGGACAGATTTCCACCGGTCTAATGTCCATTGCTCGTGTTTCTTGGCCCAAGCAAGTCTCTTCTTACTATTGGTGTCCTTTAGTAGTGGTTTCTTTGCAGCAATTCGACCAAGGTCTTCCGAGTGGCGCAGTGGTCTAAGGCACTGTATCGCAGTGCTAGCTGTGCAACTAGAGATCCTGGTTCGAATCCAGGCTCTGTCGTAGCCGGCCGCGACCGGGAGACCCATGGGGCGGCGCACAATTGGCCCAGCGTCGTCCAGGGTAGGGGAGGGAATGGCCGGCAGGGATGTAGCTCAGTTGGTAGAGCATGGCGTTTGCAACGCCAGGGTTGTGGGTTTGATTCCCACGGGGGGCCAGTATGAAAAAAATAATGTATGCACTCACTAACTGTAAGTCGCTCTGGATAAGAGCGTCTGCTAAATGACAAAAATGTAATGAAGGCCTGATTCACACAGTTGATGTTGAGATGTGTCTGTTACTTCAACTCTGTGAAGCATTTATTTGGGCTGCAATTTCTGAGGCTGGTAACTCTAATGAATTTATCCTCTGCAGCAGAGGTAACTGGGTCTTCCTTTCCTGTGGTGGTCCTCATGAGAGCCAGTTTCATCATAGTGCTTGATGGTTTTTATGACTGCACTTGAAGAAACTTTCAAAGTTCTTGAAATTTTCCGGATTGACTGACCTTCATATCTTAAAGTAATAATGCACTGTCATTTCTCTTTGCTTATTTGAGCTGTTCTTGACATAATATGGACTTGGTCTTTTACCAAATAGGGCTATCTTCTGTATACCCACCCTACCTTGTCACAACACAACTGATTGGCTCAAACTCATTAAGAATGAAATAAATTCCACAAATTAACTTTTAATAAGGCACACCTGTTCATTGAAATGCATTCCAGGTGACTACCTCATGAAGCTGGTTGAGAGAATGCCAAGAGTGTGAAAAGCTGTCATCAAGGCAAAGGGTGGCTGCTTTGAAGAATCTCAAATATAAAATATATTTTGATTTGTTTAACACTTTTTTGGTTACTACATGATTCCATATATGTTATTCCATTGTTTTGATGTCTTCACTATTATTCTACAATGTTGAAAATAGTTCAAATAAAGAAAAACCCTGGAATGAGTAGGTGTGTCCAAACTTTTGACTGGTACTGTATATTATCGTATAGATGGTCAAATCAGAAACAGGAAGTGAGTGTGTGATGACCTGGAAGTGGAAGATGCCAGTGTACTGGCCTCCAAAGTCCTGACCATGAGGCACCACTCTGTGGAGAAGGTTGTCGTTCAGAGTCAACGAGGCTATGGCTGCCAGCAACCAGCAGTCACCTGAAACACACACACACACACACACACACACACACACGCACACACACACACGTACACAAGCAGGCACACACACAAAATATTACATCAGTCATAGGTAGACTGTGTTAATGATATCAATGCATTGTATCAGTCCCTTAGTCGTTTGAGTTTTTTCTGACCGCCTGGAAATACTCTGGCCGCTAGTCATAGCATACAAGTAACGCCAAGAGTTTTTCCTGATCTAGTAACACGGTAAGGAAAAACTCCTGGCCCTGTTCATCATTCATCTCTTCAAAAGTTCCCAACTGTTCTTCTTTTGAATAATTTCTAGCCTCAAGGCTAGGTGAAGCTAACTGACAACAACATGTCATCTTACACATGACTTATTCATTACAGATAGATACTGCAGTCTGTTCCTCACTGCTGTGGGAACGGAGCACTTCAGGCTTAAGTGGTGAAACCTTGAATGCACCTCATAAGGAAACCGTAAAGAGAGAGGGTTCAGAGCATCTGTTAACACACACTTCATCCTGACGCTATGAAACCTCCAAGGAGTGTGTTTGAATTTGAACTGTCTGGACCTATGCTGATTCAATCACTAGACCTACCGTAACTCTAAGAGAAGAGGCTATATAATACAATGCCCATGCAGGGTAGAGGCATAGGCTCAAAAGCCCACAGGAGACACCATGGTTGGGTTCGGCATGCTGTTCTGTTAGGTTGCTTCCTGTTATTTTGAAGTTCTTGTGGAAAACAGTAGAAAATGTATGCAAATAATGTATATAAGTAATGAATGTTAATAATGACTGTGAAAAATGAAAGAAGCAGTACTACAATGTGACGTCATCTATAAATATGGGTGAATGCCTATTGTTATCCAAACGCTGACCAAGGCTGTCTGCTACTGCTAAAAATACATTCAAACTTAAAGAATATTCCAGTGAGTGCAGGTTTTTTCCTTTTCTCGGATGTATGCCTTTTGAATCCGGCACCCAAATACTTTTTGCTACTAAACACTTTAGAGTTGAGCACGCCACTTCCTCTTTCTGGGCTTGGCATGCCCCATATTTAAGAGAGGTAGGCAGCTCTCTCCCAGTTAACTCAGCATTTTATTCAGTACCAAGCGATGAGAAGACTTTCAAATCAACCATTCAGCTCAGTGTTTAGTATGTGATACAGTACCAGGCAACATGTATACCTTTCCTATGTTTACTGTAGAGGTGGTATAGTACCAGTGCATGTCAGCCAGAGGGAGGTTGTTCATTTGTTTAAAGATGTGAGAAAGCAGAGCAGAGTATACATTATGCATCCCCTACAGTGTTTAGAGGAAAACACAACACAAGAGTACCAAGATAGCAATCAAATCTCTGAGCTTACCAAAAGGCAGCATCCTAATCACACACAAATCAAATAAAATCTCTCTCTCTCTCTCACTCACTCACTCACTCACCTAAAGCTCCCTGGCAGATATCAGTGCGAGTGGCTCCATCCACTATAAACTGGGGACGGGTACAGATCTCCTGTAAAAAGAAAGAGAGAGGGGGAGAGAGATGGGGAGAGAGAACAAAGAGAGAGGTAAGATATGCAAGGTTGTTGTTGCTCACAAACATGCACATACACACACAGCAGTGACAGGTAGGCCGACATTTCACTTTTTTATTTCACCACAGTGTTGACACTGCAGCACTGGTAATCCCTGTCATCCTTGTTGTCATGGCGAACGGAGTCCTCATCAATCACACAAGTGACTCATAGAATATATTATAAAAACAATAACTCTTTGGATGAGACATTCCTGCTAAACTATAGAGTAATGCATCTACTCTCTCCGCCTCCCAACCATCCCTCATCCACAGTTAACTCAACACAGAACAGCGTGAGAGCTAGTTAGCTAAGCTATGAAAAGCTCTTTCCGCATTTTGAGCTGCAGAGAAGCGCAGTACGGTGTTTGTTCTCTCCAGGGATGTCAATAATACAGTTCTGAGGGGCGAGGTGCTGGAGGAGATGCATTATGGAAGAGAATGAGGAGAGACGGAGTGTGAAGAGCATTAGGATAGACAGGCACGTCACACGAGTCATCTGAGAATAGTCTTTAGTCTTATATAATACTTATAGGGCGCCTTTAAGGATCAGGACTAAGATTCATCTCAGTAAGGTTCAGATACGGTCTAGGTTCAGTAGGTGAGTTTTTCCTGGTCAGGTAATATGCTCGGGTTAAACTACAAGAGGCTCAGTAAGTATAAGGAACAGGCAGTCCTAGCCGCAGTATCATCTCACCGTAGGTCTCATCCAGCGTACTCCCTGGGTCTTGGAGGAGCGTGGTCCCAACTCATTGAACCCCAGAGAGGAGGCGGCGCAGGGGAACAGGCTGTCCTCAAACAGGCTGCGGCTCTGGAGGCACCGGGCCCTCAGCGACTCAAAGTCCTGTCCCTGGAACTTGACTGCATTGTGGTTCTGGCCCAGACCCTCGTCCCGGTCCCACTGGCTCCGCAACTTGGCGGCCATCCCTGACGCATACACCTGCTCCATTCTCACCTCGCCGTAGTCGTAGTTGGCTGTGGCAGAGGTCAAAAATCAAAGATAATCCAGGGAGCCAGTCAGGGAGGAGGTTAATGGCTGACGTCCAATTAGGAATCAGACAGAGAACAGCGACAGCCAATTATGAGGTGTGAATTGTAGATGAGGTGGTGATAATAGGCTGTGACAGGCAGATGGCTTAATGGAGAGCAGTGACAGTCCTAGTCATGTAAAAAGTGACAGAGTGGGGACTGGAAGATGGGCTCAGAAGGAAGACGTTTTCTTCACAGCACCAGGCAGATCTCAGAGCCACGGCAACAATATAAAACAATTCACTGATTGGCTGGCTGTACCTTTAGCAGACAGGGCTCAGAAGCCAATAGAATGAGATGAGATTCAGCGAGTTGGCTGTACCTTGCTGTCCCACCAAAAGCCCCTGGAGAAGAAAGAGAGAGAGAGAAATTAGTGAAATTCAAAACGCATAAATATCTGCTCATGTCTAACTCCTGTAAGAATCTATACTTCATTCAAATACAGCCTGTACAGCTCTGTGCAGCACGGACAAAAGAAACAAGATACACATAGCTTGAGAGAGTTAGCAAATAGCACATTGCCCCCTTCCCCCTGCCTCCTATAAAATGTCAACCGGCCGTGCACGCTATCTAGCAGGAGGATTCCACTGGGATTACTCACAATAATAGTCAATAATGTTCTGAGAACCATATGTTTCTTAAAGCTTGGTGAGAGCGTGGTTGTCCTATGGTTATTTTGCATGCAACCTTCCCACAACTTTCTGTGAATGGTGCAGATTACCCAGCTAGCACATAACCTTCTGAGAACTATATGTTTCTTAGGTGGGAATTTCAGTACTTCAGCATAACGTTTCCTACAGGTTTCCTGATGGTTCTATTTAAAGTAATGTTCTCAGAACGTTCAGAGAACGTTCAGAAACAACGTTCTTCTTCTCTATCTTGTTAAGTGTGTTCAGGTGTGTTGGCCGCGCCTCCTAACTGGCCACACCTGATCTTAATGAGTGCGTGTTTCCTTTGAAATGGGGTCTGTTTTAATAGACAAAAATTAATAGCTTTCTAACAGTAAAATAAATATGGCATGCTAGCTCCATCCTGGTGGCACAGTGGACTAATTCCATGGATAGAGAACAGAATATTACAGGTTTGAATCTCACGGACACGGTGCCACAATAAAAAAGAAATGTGTTTGCATGATTAATGCCTAAGAAAATGTATTTACATGTGTCCTATCTGTGCTTGGAGTTCAAACCAGTTAACCCAAACTAAGCTAGCAGTGTTATTAAAAGTCTTATTGAAACATGTTCTCAGAACGGTATTTAATTACCTTAAAATAACCTATAATTTCCATTCTCAGAACGTTAATAAAAACTCCCAGGAAAACTTTCAGGGAACCATAGTAAAACGTTCTCAGAATGTTTTAAAAACGTATGGCTTCGTTCCCAGAACAATGGGAAACCAAAAACGTACGTTCCCAAATCTTCCAAGGAACTAAATGTGCTAGCTGGGTTCTATTCTGCAAATGTAAAACTCTCTGAATGTATTGCATGGAATTTGTACCACAGGAGGTTGGTGTCACCTTAATTGGGGAGAACAGGCTCGTGGTAATGGCTAGAGCGGAATCAGTGGAATGGTATCAAATACAGTAAACATGGCCATTCCATAGACTCCATTCCAGCCATTATTATGAGCCATCCTCCCCCCAGCAGCCTCCACTGATTTGTACTGAAGAGACAGCTACTAATCATGAGCAGAGACTGAGGTAAAGTAGCTGGTCTCTCTCTCTGTGTGTGTGTGTGTGTGTGGGTGGGTGGGTGGGTGTGTGGGTGGGTGGGTGTGTGTGTGTGGTGTGTGTGTGGTGTGGTGTGTGTGTGTGTGTGTGTGTGGGTGGGTGGGTGTGTGTGTGTGACACTGTGTAAACAGCGCAGAATGGGAGGGAACACAGCCAAGAACATGCAAAAGACTCAGGCTCTCTGGTAACTACTGCACTGTCGGGGGGAAGGGAGATGTTGCCTGTTTCAGTTTGCTGTCATAGTTCCACAGCCTCTCTTTCCTTCTTTCAAACCCGTTTCCTCACATCATAATCACTCTGTTTTCTCTCTCCCCCTTTCCCACTCTTGCTCTCCCACAAACAAACAAAAATTGAGAGAGAGAGAGAGAGAGAGAGAGAGAGAGAGAGAGAGAGAGAGAGTGAGGCACACAACTGCTTCTAATCTATTTGAAACCTTTCCTCACATTCTGAAGTTCAGTCTACTTCGCCTCTTTCTCTCTCTTTCTTTTTCAGTCTCTCACTTTCACTCACTCACACATGCTGACTGTTATTCACACTGAGCTCTCTTCCTGTTCTACCCCTCAACTGTCAGTCAAAACAAACCCTGAGCTTTGTCTGTTTCTCATTGGTGCAGAGAGGTCAGGAGAACCCGGTCAGGCACAGCTGTCACCGACTACTGAGCCACACCCATCACTATGGCCTGTTGTTCCCTGACTCGGACATTTTTCCCACTGGTCAGAGTTTACTTTCTAACTGACTCTCACCACTCCTTTAGAGTCTCGAGGCTAATACTAAGGGGAAAGATAATGGAATGAAGTTCTACCATCTTAGATGGGAGAGAATAAAATGGAAATTGATACCATATTTTGGGACAGTTTCAACACGTACCGAATACCTACTCAACCCCTATACATGCATGTCAGTTTTCTACACATCGTCTGGGTAGAAACGTTCACATTTCTGTGACTGTGGTCCGTTGACAGACAGGGGAGTGTGCGTGTAGTCAGGAGTCTTCACAACAAGTAGGGTTTTTAACTCATATGAATATTTTATGTTCCTCACATGTGGAATATTTCTGTTTGCGCCTCACTGCAAATAGGTTCACTGATGTGAAATGACAGATTAGTAGTCAAGACACATCATGATCAGCCCTACTGGTGTTCCCAATTCAAGACATACTGTTTCTTACTGATCTGTAGCCTATCACTATTGTAACATTACTGCTACTCAAATAGCCTAAAACTGAGACAACTAAGCAATGAAATGACAATTTGGAACTATTGACATCTGTATAACATGGGAGATAACCTTGTCCCCAGGCTAACTGCTACCGCATATAGAGAGCAATAGTGATGGCATCTTTTTGTAAACTCTGGCATGGCTCGTTGGCCAAAGCCTATGGGGAAATAAATGGTGTTTTTAAGGTCTGTGGTAAACACAGGATTAGGAGATCTTATACATTTTGTTCTATGAGATAATCTATCAGCTAACATCACTTTTTGTGAATTTTTGAAGCGTTTATGTAATCAAAATAAGCACATAAAGCACATAGGCTTCATAATTCATAAAAGTAATGTTAACTGACTGATGTTATCTCATAGAACAAAACATATAAGATCTCCTAAGTCTGTGTTAACCTCAGACCTTATTTTCAGCGTTTATCTCAAAACCTCATTAATTTCCCCCATAGGAATGGCTGAACGAACCAGAGGTTTCATTTCCGGTTTTTAAGACTACAAACTGGTGAGCTCTTTAGAGGCAGAGAGAGAAGACTGATTGAGATAATAGATAAACCACTCTGTAGCCTACCTGTGCTGGAAACAGCCTACCACTCACACATGGACGATGTGTACAGTTAGACAGTGTGATACTGTATCAGTATTTGGCTGCGGTAATCTAGTTAAAGCTTTACTAAAGGTGTAGTGTAGCCTAACTATTGCATCATACAAAGAAAAGGATTGACCACACACAGGCAGAGTTAGACCACACCTGAAAGCACTACTGTACTGTATAGACCACACACCCAGAGAGAGAGACAGAGTTTACAATATTACAGTAACATTAGTAGGTTATAATAACCCCCATTATTCGTGCTAAAGCACTGGAACCAGTGCAAGTGTAATTCTGCATGACTTCCAAATAGTAGGGAGCTCACATTACAACCACCCACTGGCCGTGTCCGAATACCCATAGTAACATACTACATACTTAAACTGCATACTATGTACTCATCGTCGCATACTATTTAGCACGCACCGTTTAGTAAAAAGTATGCAGTATGCCACCGCCGCAACGCAATACCAGCTCCTGACTGGCTAAGTAGGTGGGGCGGGGCCGACTGCGGGTGGATTTTTACTAATTCAACAGACATGCATCGCATTAACCAGCCTGATAATAGCTCATTTCCAATTTGATTAATTTCTCTAAATAGAAATTAATAGAGTTACAGGCCTACTCAAGCTGGTTATAGGCAGACAATCAAATTCAACCTATACCGTAGCCCATATAGCCCATCTATCCTATTCAAAAAGGACTGAAGACAGAAACAGTTCATTTGTTTCCATATCAACATATTTATTAGTGAAACCAATGTGTTTTTACATATAAAAACTAAATCAAATAGCCTAGTACACACACCAAAACTTTTCAAATGTTCAAATCAAAAGGTTGTACAGAAAAACATGGACAGTGGGGTACGTCGCAAATTCAGAACCGCTAGACAGCAACATAATAAGCTAAAGCACTGATCTTTGGGAAAGAGATCAGAATGACTTGTAAGGCTTGATCCGTGAATTAAATAATGAAATAGGTAGCCTACAAAACTAAAACTCAGTGTTCAACACAATAGTGCCCTCAAAGCTCATCACTAAGCTAAGGACCCTGGGACTAAACACCTGGATCCTGGACTTCCTGACGGGCCGCTCCCAGGTGGTAAGGGTAGGTAACAACACATCTGACACGCTGATCCTCAACACGGGGCCCCTCAGGGGTGTGTGCTCAGTCCCCTCCTGTACTCCCTGTTCACTCATGACTGCATGGCCAGGCACGACTCCAACACCATCATTAAGTTTGCCGATGACACAACAGTGGTAGGCCTGATCACCGACAACGACGAGACAGCCTATACGGAGACCTGGCCGTGTGGTGCCAGGACAACAAAATCAAAAATCTAATCAAATCAAATGTATTGGTCACATACACATGGTTAGCAGATGTTATTGCAAGTGTAGCGAAATGCTTGTGCTTCTAGTTCCGACAGTGCAGTAATATCTAACAAGTAATATCTAACAGTTCCACAACAAAAACCTAATACACACAAATCTAAGTAAAGGAATGGAATAAGAACATATAAATATATGGATGAGCAATGTCATTATACAACCTCTCCCTCAACGTGATCAAGACAAAGGAGATGATTGTGGACTACAGGAAAAAGAAGAGGACCGAGCTCGACCCCATTCTCATCGACGGGGCTGTAGTGGAGCAGGTTAAGACCTTCATGTTCCTTGGTGTCCACATCACCAACAAACTAACATGGTCCAAGCACACCAAGACAAAACCTATTCCCCCTAAGGAGACTGAAAAGGCACTACAGAGGGTAGTACGGCCCAGTACATCACTGGGGCCAAGCTTCCT